AAATGAGAAAGACTGCAAGCAAGCCCTAATTTTACACCTAAAGGAATTAAAAAAGAAGAACAAAGTAAGCCCAAAGTTAGCAGAGGGAAGAAAATACTAAAGATCAGAACAGAAATAAATGAAATAGAGACCAGGAAAGCAACAGAAAATATCAATGAAACTGATTTTTCAGAAAGATAAAATTGATTAGCCTTTAGCTAGACTACTAAGAAAAGACTAAAAATAAATAAAACCAGAAATGAAGAAGATATTAAAAGTGATACTACAGAAATACATAGGATCGTAAGAGACTACTATAACCAATTATATGCCAACAAATTAGATAACCTAGCAGAAATGGATAATTTTCCAGGATCATATAATTTTCCAAGACTGAACCAGAAAGAAAAAGTCTGAACACACCAATAATATGTAAGGAGGATGAATCAATAATCAAAATCCTACAAAAATAGAAAACCCCAGGACCAGATCGTTTCAGAGGTGAATTCTACCAAACATTTAAAGAATTAATGCCAATCCTTCTCTGACTTCTCTGACTTTTCCAAAAACTGGAAAGGAGGGAACACTTTCAAACTCATTTTATAAAGCCAGCATTGCTGACCAAAGCCAGGTAAGAACCACAGAAAATTATACACCAATATCCCTCATGAACACAGTTGCAAAAATCCTCAAGATTCAAGGATGGTTTAATAAACGCATTCAACTCAACTCCTATCAAAATCTGATGGCATTTTTCAGTAATAAAATAATCAGTCCTCAAATTTGTATGGTACCATAAAAGACCCCTAATATCTAAAGCAATGTTGAGAAAGAAAAACAAAACTGGAGGTATCACACTTCCTGAATTCAAATTATACTATGAAGCTGTAGTAATTAAAAAGTATGGTATTGACATAAAAACAGGCACACAGACCAGTGGAACAAAGTAGAGAGCCCAGAATTAAACCCCCATATATAAGGTCAACTAATATATATAACAATGGAGCCAAGAATATCCAATGGGGAAAGGACAGTCTCTTCAACTGGAAAACCACATGTAGAAAAAGAAAATCTATCTTGCACCACTCAAAAATCACCTTGAAATAGATCAAGACTTTAACATAAGACCTGAAACCATAAAACTCCTGAAGAAAACATAGGGAGAAAAATTTTGACATTGGTCTTGGCAATGATTTTGGATATGACACCCAAAGCACAAATAATAAAAGACAAATTCAACGAGTGGGACTACATCGAAGTTAAAGCTTCTTCTAAACTGCAAAAGCAAAAATTAACAAGATGAAAAGGCATCTACAGAATGAGATATATTATCTGCAAACCATGTAATAGATAAGGGGTTAATATCCAAATTTTATAAAGAACTCATGTAAGTCAATAACAAAAGAAAATGAAAAACAATGTAAGTAAAAAATGGGCAGAGGAACTGAAGAGGCATTTTTCCAAATACATTCAAATGGCCAACAGGCACATGAAAAGATGCAAAAAGTCACTAATCACCACAGAGATGCAAATCAAAACCACAATGGATATTGTTTCATGCCCATAACAATAGCTATAATCAAGGTCACAGAAGACAACAATTGTTGGCAAGAATGTAGAGAGAACGGAGCCCTTGTGCACTCTTGATGGGAATGTAAACTGGTTTAACCACTGTGGAGAAGAATATAGAGGTTCCTCAAAAAATTAAAAATAGAACTACCGTAAGATCCAGGAATCCTACTTCTGGGTATATATACAAAGGAAATGAAACAGGTTATCAAAGAGATATATGACTCCCATGTTTAGTATAGCAATATTCACAACAGCCAAGGCATGGAAAAAAAATATAAGTGTCTATCAATGAGTGAATAAAGATGTTGGTACAAACACACACACACACACACACACACACACACACACACAAATATACTATTGAGCCATGAAAAAAAGAAAACCCTGTCATTTGCAGCAACATGAATGAATCCTGAGGACATTATGCCAAGTAAGATAAGTCAGACATAGAAGGACAAATACTATGATTATCTCTTATATGTGGAATCTGAAAAAAACAAACTTGAAGAAACAGAAAGTGGAATGGTGGTTACTAGATGCTCAGGAATGGGGGAATGGGAGCTATGCTGTTTTAAGTTACACACTTGCAACTAGTATATAAATGAGACAGCTTAGAGATGTAATACACAGTGATTATAGGCAAAACTGTATTATACACATTAAATATGCTGAGACTAGATCTTCATTGTTCCCACTACTAGAATAAATAATAATTATGTGATGTGATAGAGATGTTACCTAATGCTACAATGACAATCATATTGAAATATGAGTGTATCAAATCAATATGTTATATGCCTTAAACTTACATGTTAAATGTCAATTATATTCAATAAAAAATGAGCACAATAATTCAAAATTAACTAATAAGAAAATAAATTTACAGATGGATTGTAATGTCACTTTTTTTACAATCAGCAGAAAATCTACCAAAGAAATAAAATATTTGCATCAATAATGAAATTGTTCACACTTAAAATTAATTGTATTGGGCCGGCCGAGTGGCGCAATGGTTAAGAACTGGCTTGGGACGCCAGAGGGCCCCAGATCGGATCCCACATATGAGGGCCAGTGACACTGCCCTCTTCAGCTAAGATGCTGAACAACAGCTCAACCTGGAGCTGGGCTGCCGTGAGTCGCCGGCGACGGCGTAGGCTGCAGCCCCTGTGGCAGTGGGTTGCCATGGGCTACCGTATGTAGCCAGCAGCCAGCGTGAGTGGCCAGCAGCTGCAGTGAGCAGCCGTCCAGAAGCCGGCGACTGATGTGCCTCGCCCGGGAAGCGCGCAATGATGGTGCCAACTTGGGCCAGTGAAGCAACGTCCTCCACAACTAGACTGAAGAACAAAACGACAGCAACTTGTCTGTTCCCCTTCCCCCAATTCCCCAGCACTGTTCCCTTCCCCCCAGTACCCCAATAAAAAAAATCTTTAAAAAAAAATTAATTGTATTGTTGACAATGTTTTGAAATAATTCACGCTGATATGGATTATGTAGTAGCAAATAATTTATAGGGGAAAGGTCTTCATAAACATTAGAGACAGGCATTAAACTAAATATGAACTGAAACTTTTTTCCTAATTGCAATTAAACTATAATATATGCAGTATGCCATTTATATAGTACTTACATATTCTTAATAAATAAATAAATATATATATATAAACAGTTATATATCTGATTTAAAGGGAAAAAAAGCCCTCATTATATACAGTTCAGTTTGCATTAAGAAAACCAAAACTCCCATAAATATCAATTTTTTTCTGTCAATCAAGCATAGCTTTTGTATCCACAAACAAGTCAACCTTGAAATAAAAAGAAATGAATGTGATATAAATCCTTTATTGAAAATAGGAAAACGTCATTTAAAAGGTCTTCTTCCCAAAAAAGTAAATAGGAACAAATGCATACACATGCAGCAGTTAACGGTCTAAATTTAGCAATCCTATTTTGTCATAGAATATAGAAACTAGAGCTGTATGTATATACTAGAAATCTAAATTTGTTTTAAATATTTGAAACAAAAATACCTTACAGAAGAAACAGAAGCCATCTTGTACATAGTTGCTGTAGATTCACAAAATTCTGTATCGTTTTGTTCATGAAAAGAGCCTTGTATGTCTCTATATACGTATCAGCTTGATAGTCAGTTTGTGCAAAAGCTAGAAAAATGTGTGAACACCCAATTCCTTCTTACGACCCTAATGCTAGGAACACTAAGACACAGGGGACCAAAAGAGGGAGGTTTTCATAAAGGGCATGTTAATAAATTAAAGAATTATCACGCATCAAATAGTACTTTTTTTCATATTATTTACTTGTGGGATAATACAACTCTAAATAGGTGTAATTAGAGTGCAAAGTTAGAGGGAGGAGAAAGTTGAGGGTTAGGGAGAACAAGAATAGCTGGTGATTTCTCATCTGATACGTTGAAGGAGCATATTGTAAACTTTACAGCAATTATAAAATAAATAAAATGAAGGAATATGTATAATAAGCCAGAAGAGAATATTAAATGGAATAAACATATTCAATATAAAAGAAGGCAGAAAATGGGGAAAAGGAACACAATAGATGGGATAAACAAAAAATAAATAGCAGAGTGAAACATTTAAAATCAACCATGCCTATATATAAATGAAATAAACCCAGAAATTAAAAAAGAAGAGATTGTCAGACTAGTTTTAAAAACAGAAAACCAAGACCAAATTATATGCTACATGCCTAAAATTTGAAACTGCCTAAATGTCCATCAAGATGAATGCAGGAACATATTGCTATAATCATACAATAGGATACTATTCAGCAATAATAATGACTGAACTATTGATATAGTTAACATGTGTAAATTTCAAAACAGAGTGCTGAACAAAAGACCATCCCCCCATCCGACCCTGCGTGCACGCCTTGGATAATTCTATTTTTATATAGTAACAGAACATTCAGAACTACTCTGTAGTGATGGAAATCAGATTAATCGTTTCCTGGGTTAGAAGAGGGGCTGAATAAGGGAAGCATGACTAAACTTTTTGGGCTATAGAGTATTTTACTTCATGATTAGGGTGGTATTTCAACAGGTGTATACCTTTGAAAAACATCACTGAGCTGCATACTGAAAGTGGGAGAATTCACTGTCTCTGATGTAAATTATAATTTAATAAAATTTGGAAAGAGTGGTAAATTAGAAATCAATCAAAATAATATATCCAGAAATCCTACAAAATTTCAAAATTAAACAACATACTACAGTGTTAAAACACAGTAACCTGAATGTTTAAGAACATATTTATAGTTTAATTTGGAGTTTATAAGTTTATAGTTATAATTAATATTATGAAGACTAGTAATTTAATGTTCTACAAAAATTATTTCATATATACACACATACATACATACACACTCATATACCTAAACACACACATCTAAACACACACATAAAATAAAATAATTACCAATTGAAGCTGAGTACATTTGTTTCATGTGAGTTTCAATGACAGAAGGATCCCGAGAGCTATAACTTCCCAACTCAGGGTAAAAACTGGAGCCAATGTCGTCTGGGGGGTTGTGCTTCCCTTGCGGATAATCCTTGGTTATTCTAGGGTCCCAATGCTTCAGAATTGGATGGTTCCAATGTATATATTTACCATCAAATTGTGGATTCCCATACCAACTGTAATAAAATACATGTAAATAATAATTCAAAGGTGGCAGTTCTTCCAGGTTAGGTTCAGAGGTTTTGGAAGGTTTCACAGTGATTTCAACACTTTTTAAATTCTTGATATTTGTTTCACTGTTGATTTTGTCACTCTTTTGGGAATCAACATTTTTCGCCAAATGAGGAATTCGTTGACGAACTTCTGGAAGAAGGTCAAGTCCAAAAGGATCTCCAAAAGTAGCTTTATTTGGTCTCAGCATTTTTAAACCCATCATCAGAGAGAAAATAAATAGAATAAAAAGTAACAAAATGATGCAAGTCCTTCTTCGAAACTTTGCCATGATGACATACTTTAAATTCCCAAATGATAAATGTTTAGCTGTAATTTATTGAAAAACAGTAATTAGTAAGTGGTATTAACAATATTTTCCAATGTATTCAAAAACGAAAACTCAAATCCATAAAGTTCATTACTTGAAAGAATTTTAAAGTACATTAGGATATTACTTATATCAGCAAATATTGATATCTACAACAGACTAGACTATATATGGCTAGACTAAAGGGCATATTTATTTGAGAATACCACAAATACATTTTGTTAAACATTTTAGACATTTTACTTAACAAAGCAAATATGTTTTTTTTATTATTTGGACAGATTTTGCATATACTTGATATAAAGAGAACATTCTAAGTATATGGACTAAAATTTTCTAAATATAAATATAAAATTAAAGGTTCATGATTTTACAAAGGGAATGCTTAAAAGTACAAAAAGCCTAGTCCTTAAATGGATTTTTAAGAAACTCATTTAACGAAAATAATTGTTTCACAAGAAGGCAGTAATCACACATTTTAAGCGACATTTTTTAGACTAGAAGGAGATTAAATTCTAAAAATTGATCACGTTAGATATCTAATTTTAAAAAAACATTATTACTCTATAACTTTGAAAATCTTATTGAACAGAGCTTATAAAATTAAATTATAGCTTCTAAAATTGTTTCATGTGTGTTTTATGTTTTAATAAGTGTGTATATTTGCATGTATGTATAGGTAGGTGAGTATACATATGTATAAATACACACACATACACATGGATAAAATATTTAAATTTTTATGTACAATTTTTTATTAGAAAGGTATTTGGTGAAAAGTTGACATTGATTATACTTACAAAATATAACTTTCTACTATACACCGTGTTGTTGTTACTCTGGGACATTAAGTTAAACTAACCCTAAGAGAAAAGACAGATGAGTACAAATTAATCTCATGAGCAAGTAATTCTGTCACACACACAACTTTCTACAAATTGATTCTTCTATTATGCATATATGTAAGAAACACTAAGATGAGCAAGCATATATCTTTTAGGGCTAAAATTCAGAGATTTTCCTCAAAGTCAACATTGTTCAATTGTGAAATATATCACACCTAAGGATTACTATAAAAGGTATATGTTTAGTTTTTGAAACATATAAACATTCAAAAAGAAAACTGCCAGCCTTTAAAAGCCCAGCTCCAGGGCCAGCCGAGTGGCTCAGTTGGTTAAGAGCTTCCTCAAGAGTGAGAGCTCTGAGCAACAGTGTTGCCGGTTCGATTCCCAGCCCGAGCTGAGCTGCCAACAGATGGCAGGATGGTTCAGCTAAAAAAAATAATAATAATAAAAAAAATAAAAGCCCAGCTCCACTTTTTGTGCGCTCTGCCAATCACTAGCCCTACCCCTTCTCTTTGCTTCAGGGCAACAGTTTTATGGTTACCATTCCCTCACCTTTATTTACAGTTTTTCCAATACATAAGCATACCTAACTAAAATTAATTTGGTTTTGCCTGTTTTCAAAATTTTGTTTAAGTAGATGTGGTACATCTGTATATACACCATACGTGTATATATACAAATATCTAATATGCATATTAATCTTATATATAGACATATGTAAGCCTTATATGTATTTACATGCAATATAAGTATGTATAATTATATATATGTATGTATATATATAATTAGATGTATATAAAATATACAAAACTCTTGGGAAACAGTATGGATCACTAAGCCTACTCTGACACTTTACCTGCTGTCCTACCTCTTCCCCATCCCTGTATTCCATCACATCAGTTCCTTCTCTCTCATAGAAAGTCATGAAAATGGACATTTAGCAAAGGAATAGGAAGATGTGTCTGGAGATTTTGTTTTAGAATTATGTTAATTTTCTGGTTTAATTAAAATACTTTTATGTCAAATATTCTCCTTCCTAAACTTTGAAAATAAGATTATCAAAATGACACTTTCTGTTGTTACTAGTACTCTAATTTAGGACCCCCCCCATAAAGTATTATATTTTAATACTGCTATTACATGGCTACACTGTGACCACACCAACAAGCTGAACTCATTAAAGTATGTCATGTAGTCAATCAATAATATTAAAGCTAAAACAAGCATTATAAAAATAGACATAATTGACTTTAAAACGAGACACAATTGAATCCTTATTTTCTTCAAGGAACAAACAAAAATTTCTTTTTTTTTTTTCAGTTGGAATATGGGAAACAAAAACTTTAGAAAACAAAAAGATATGTAACTAATTTTCAATTGAGTAACTGTATTACATAAAAAAAAGTAGTATGCTAGGTTGATTATTAAGACACAGTCTTATGTGCAAGGTGCTTAGAGTCCATGAGGAAGGAAAACACATATGCAAATAACTAAACTTAAAGAAAAGTGCCAAAGGAGAAGTGGAAGGCATATGAAGGAATGGAATGCCATGTAAACTAAGGAGCTGAAGAAAATTCTTTAGGAAAAACAGTAAAATCTTGGAAGAATGAGTATAATATGCATAGGCTGGTGGAAAAGATAAAAAGAAAATAGCTGTGTCAGAAACAGTATGCCCAAAGATATACTGGACATGAAAAATAAGGCATCTTTTGGCTGCAGCACAGAAAACAAGACGGTGAGGTAAAGCAAAGCTGTAGTGCCATGTTGCACCTATACTGTACCTAAGTGAGAGGACAGTTCTTATTTGGGTCACCAGGGGCCACTGAAGACTTGTAAACAAAAGATTGGCATAATTAGTTTAGATCAGGATGAAGCACCTATAAAAATGACACTAAAGCCATCAAACTTTACCATGTTCTGAATCTAACAATCTCCCATTCACTGATGATTTTATCAACGGACTCTCTTCCCTCGGACCCTACTTCTGTCATCTTTCGTGACACTACCAACATGGATGACCCATCCAGTAGTTTAGATCCCCAATCCTCGACTGCCTCACTTCTAATGATCTGTTGTTCCACCCCATTTCAGGAACTCAAATGTCAGACTCATACTCTTGATCTTGTCATTTACAATCATTTACCACTCCAAACTCCCTTCATTTTTTTTCTTCCATTTTGTAAACATAACCTTGTGTACTTAGAGCCTCTCTAACTCACTTTGGCAATACCCTGGCCTTACTGAGATGTCTATTCCACTGACTATCACTTTTTCTCTATTTCTCTTTTTCTTCACATTTTGTCTCTAGTGACACAATTTATAGCCCTTAGTCCAGCACTGCAATATCTCACTTGCAAATACCCTTAACTCTCTTCTCTTCTTTTTTAGTACTTACCTGGGAAAACCTCAAATAAATGATACCTATCTTGACCTTGATCCAGAGTCACAGAATGATACTGGAGAAAAAATGCACAACCATGTTGACTTTTCACTTCAAATTTGTGACCATAAAATTCAAACCAGCACTTCAGACTGCTTAACAATCCTATTACTACACCCCAGTATGTTCACTTTTCTAACCTCCAAAAAATTATTTCGTTCCTTCTCATTGTTTAAGTCAAATCTGGACTACATCACCACCTTCTCTGATTCTCTTCAGATAGCCATGCCTTACAACTCAGAGAAAACACAAACGATCATATAGGAACTCTCTCATTATTATAAGAAGTTAGCTAAACTAGGGAACATAGTCAATAATATTATAACTATGAATAGTGCCAGGTGGGCATGAGACCAATCGGGGGGATCAGTTCGTAAAGTATATAAATGTCTAACCACTATGCTGTACACCTGAAACTAATATCGGGTTGTCGGAAAAGTCATGAAGCATTTTTGCAATGAAAAACATAGAAAAATACATCAAGACTTTTCCGACAACCCAATATAATACTGAATGCCAGTTGCAATTGAAAAACTAAAGAAGAGGGCCGGCCAAGTGGCGAGATGGTTAAGAACTGGCTTGGGATGCCAGAGGGCCCCGATTCGGATCCCACATATGAGGGCCAGTGACACTGCCCTCTGCAGCTAAGATGCTGAACAACAGCTCAACCTGGAGATGGGCTGCCTTGAGTCACTGGCGATGGCATTAGGCTGCAGCCCCTGTGGCAGTGGGTTGCCATGGGCTACCGTATGTCGCCAGCAGCCAGCGTGAGCGGCCAGCAGCCGCAGTGAGCAGCCGTCCAGAAGCCGGCGACTGATCTGCCTCACCCGGGAAGAGTGCAATGATGGTGCCAACTTGGGCCAGTGAAGCAAGTCCTCCACAACTAGACTGAAGAACAAAACAGCAGCAACTTGTCTGTTCCCCTTCCCTCAATTCCCCAGTGCTGTTCCCATCCCCCCAATTCCCCAATAAAAATCTTAAAAAAAAATTAAAGAAAAACTAAACTTTGACAGCTTTTTTCAGCAAATATTTCTAATTTTAATTTGTTCTGTTTCACTGCTTTGCTTTTCTTCTATAGCAAGTCCTATTACTTTTATTGAATTTTTGCTCAATTTTTACAACTGCATTTTTTTTTACCTTTTTCTTCATTTCAATATTTTAACTTTCTCTTTACTCTCTCTACTTCTCATAAGGCATTAGTTCTTGTATTTGTCTCCTAGCCTTCATTTATGAAATAATTTATGAAGTAATTTTTCTGTTAATTTTAATTATTTTCTGATTACCTCATTTCTGAGTTTGCATATTTATAATTTACATATTCATTTATCTCATAATTATGTTTACTGTTTACTTCTATTTCAATATTAGATTACAGTTATATATTTTGTTAACACATTTCTGGCATGCTTTCGGTATCTACAAGTATGTTAACTTTTTTGCCTGTAATTACTTTGTATGGGATTTGACTTGTGATCTTGTTCTGTTGCTAAAGACAGCAGGTTCTCAAATAACTTCATTTCATTCAATGCCGTTTCACTATAACATTGGTGAGATGTAGGAACTTAGCTCTTGTTTATATCAATTACCCTATGGCAGTGGTTCTCAACCTGTGGGTCGCGACCCCTTTGAGGGTCAAACGACCCTTTCACAGGGGTTGCCTAAGACCATCGGAAAACAGAAAGATATTTCATTACGATTCATAACTAGCAAAATTACAGTTATATAGAGTAGCAACGAAAATAATTTTATGGTTGGGGGTCACCACAACATGAGGAACTGTATTAAGGGGTCGTGGCATTAGGAAGGTTGAAAACCGCTGCTATGGCAAAGTTGTTTTGCTTAAAGTCGCAGAACCTATTGACGACATTAAGTGAGGAGTTACTGTATTACTTGAAATAATTTCCCCTTAATTTTTGGAAGTGAGGTTGAATCCTGGTAGTTCTTCCAGTTTCACAGCTCTAGAGGTCTTTTTTCTGTTGTTTTTGTGAAGTTTTAATATGGTCTTGAATTTTTCTTAACATCAGTTGGGTTTTCTCTATTCCCACATTTATATGGAATTTTTTATTTCCTTCACTTCTATTTTGTTCCCACCTGTTTAATTTCAAAATTATTTCCAGACCTTATTCTTCAACATGGAGTTTTGTCCTGAAAAACAAGCTTCAACTTAGTTTTACAGAGTTCTTAGAAAGCAAGATGCTCTAGTCCCTTCAGATATGACTTCAAAGACTCCCCTCCCTCATTTTAGCCACTATTCTCAAATTGGACTGTCACTGTTTCCAATTCATATCTACATTTAGAGATTTTCCTGTTTGAAGATCAAGCAGATGCACTATTGGTTCCCTCTGATTTCTCCTGCAGAGACCGACTGCAATACAAGTCTTATACTTGTTAGTGAGCTGTCTCCATCCGCTCAGATTCTGTGATCCGTGGGAATAACCTGTCATTCCAGTTTTGTTGCAGATGTTTCTTTTAGTTTTACTCTTTTTCTGCTCTGTTGTCATTATTCCAGGAAGATTCGAACACTGTATCACTGCTGCCGCCATTATCCCTGAACTCTCCTTTGTACTTTCTTAAAAAT